CACGCAGAACGTTCGTGTCAATCCCATCCCAGACCACCCAGCTCATAAGCTTTTGGCGGGTGAGATGGGTGGTGGAATGGAAGGAAATATTACACTCCAACCTAATGCTTCGCTCATGCAAACTTTGCCCCCGAACTTCAACCCTGAACCTGGGTTTCAAATCTGGAGGGCCGAGATTCAGGCTCAGACTCTCCACTCGGACAATCCTTGAAATTTGAGTAGGAGCACGCATTCAGAAGAACGTCCAAGACACCTTCCGGCTAGTCACAAGAGCAGGCCGCCGGTCGTTTGCGTTCGAGCAGGAGAGCATGGCAGTGCAAACGACATGGCCGGTTACACGTCCTGTGCTCACATACGGAAGAGAAGATGTAGCAAAGGTTTGGCACCATAGTCGAGGTTGCATGTGCATGATGCGTGAGAAACACGGAAGGATTTCCGACTCTGTAGTCAGAGTGTTACTGTTGTAATACAGTGTTAATTGTTGTCGTAGGAGGACGGTAGTCACACCGAAGCATTCCCGCAGCCGTGCAGCATCTGGAAACTGTAGAGCCGCGAAGAAGTTGCGACATGGCAAGTGTGGGCGAGGCCAACCAGAAAAGGGTTGTGGCCGTGCGACAAGAGGTGACCGGACCGGCAGAACGCGTGAGCAGCAGCGGCTCTCGGCCCCCCTCGGCGGGGACAGCCTTGCAGACGGCGCAGGAAGACGTCGGCCGCGGAGAAGGCTTATGAAGCCACAGCTTCGCGTGGGAAAAAGGCAATGACGGCAGAGCAGCGCGCTCTCCGCAAAGCCGCGAAGGAGCGGCTGGCTGCGGCACGCAAAGCTCTAAAAGCTGCACGCGCTGCAGAGGAGAGCTTTCCGAAAAGGAACGACATGCCTCCTCTCAGCGGCACGGTCCGCAAGGCCTCCAGAATGCCCGCGTCAGGCAGCCGGACCGCGACAGCCGGCGAGGGGTTGGTGGCACCCAGACCCCAGACTCGGACCCGAACTCTGACCTAAACTCCAGATTCTGGCCCCAAAGCCCCAAACTCTGACTCCAAACTCTGACCCAAACTCTGACCCAAATCCTGGCCCAAAGGCAGATCCCAGACTCGAACCCAAACTCTGACCCAGACTCCAGACTCTGGCCCCAAACTCTGACTCCAAACTCTGACCCAAACCCTGGTCCAAACCCAGACCCCAGACTCCGGACCCAAATTCTAAACTCCAGACTCTGGCCCCAAACTCTGACCCCAAACGCCTGGTGCAAACCCCAGACTCCAGACTCGGACCCAAACTCTGACCCAGACTCCAGACTCTGGCCCCAAACTCTGACCCCAAACTCTGACCCCAAACTCTGACCCCAAACTCTGACCCAAGGGGACGTTGTTTTAGGGTTTGGGGTTATTAGTAAACTATTGCCAGAACCACCATGTGGAAGAGTTTCGGCGTTCGTGCTGGAGTTTGAGATCCAGCCGGTCTCAAACTCAACGTTATGTGTAAATGGCCTAGGCAAGCTCGGGAGTAAGTCATACTCCCTCGGCATTCCGGTCCGCCTAAGTCGAGGCGGACCGGGTATAGGGCTTTAGGGTTTTAGGGTTTAGGGTTTAGGGTTTAGGGTTTTAGGGTTTTAGGGTTTAGGGTTTAGGGTTTAGGGTCTTAGGGTTTAAGGATAGGGTTTAGGGTTTAGGGTTTAGCGGTTAGGGTTCTTTGCTGAATGTCATGCCACCGATCATTTCTGCTCTCATTTCTGCTCTGAGGCTCCGTGGACTCGAAGGATTTCGAGTCAGATCCCTCTTGTATCTAAGTGTCATGGTTTGCTTCGGGCTCAGTCAAACATCAAAACCAGTGATCTAAAAGATCCTCAAAGGTCTAAGGTTTAGAGTTTACTAAACCCCTCTAAGCCTTCCCGAAACCCGCCAACACCCAAGCACCCGGCCTCGAATGCAAGCGAACCGCCGTGATGCACGGTGCCGGCTTTGGTGATCCTGAGGCCGCCACCTGTGCCCAGCAATAGTAAGCTTCGCAGATGTCGGGACAATGATACCGGTCGTAATACCGACCGACAATACGTATGAGAGCAGCAGTACTTATGGAACTTAGAGTACTACTGAATACTTAGAACCTTAAACCCCAAATCCCTAAATCTGAAAACCCTAATACTTATCTTATAGTGCTTACCCTACAGGTACCTACTATATAGGGTACTAGAGCCCCTAGGCCCTATATAGTAGGTACTTGGAGGGTTAGGGTTACATAATACATATAGTAAAAGGATGCGTTGGTAGTCGCACAAGATGCTTGCTGCCAGGTTGGGAGGTTCAAGGCCCTTTTTATGGAGGGGCTCTGAGATCCTTGTATGCAAGAGGGTTTAGGGTTTCGGGTTTAGGGTTTAGGGTTTAAGGGTTCAGGGTTAGTTGAGGGTGGTTTAGGATTTGTTTGAGGGCTCCTGCGACACTCCTATGCCAGGATGAGCCACTAGGTCGCAGCCTGTCAACAGAAGTACAGAGAGCTCAGGTTTAGGGGGTTCTGTGGCCACGGGGTTGCAGTTGTTCACGGCCGGGGCTGCGGAGCTCGGTGATGATCACGCGTAGCAACCTAGCAGCTCTAGCAGCTACCAGTAGGACTCAAGATGGTCCATCACGCAAGCATTCTTGGCCCAATGCAGTTTTCAAGGAGCCTAAGCCTGGGAAGTTCCTGGCCTGCGTGTGCCCGGCATGCCTTGAAGTGCATTGAGCCGTTGCCCTCCAGGCGTTCGGTGATAACACCGCCTCCGTCCCCTGAGGATCAGCGAGCGTGGGAGATACAACACTGCAGGGGAAGCGGGCTTCCGTGAGTGCGCTGACCTTACTTCATAATTGCTTGGGCTCTATCTATACACTGCCTCCACTCTTGCAGGTACAATCGTCTATGCACTCGAACCTCATGCATCTTCGCGCGCCGCATTCGGATCCGCCGCGTCAACTCTTCTATGTTCTCGACTGCCAAGGCGCTATCTGCCGAGCAGTGCTCGAAGAGCACCGAACTCCCGGCTTCATGCTGGTAGCCGCCTTTGGCGTGGGGGCCGCCTCCTGGGGAATATTCTGGGAGGCGAGTGGGGTGGCCGCAGCGGCCGCTGTTTTGGAAACCCGAAGTCTGGGAGACTGCAAGCCGGATATGCCCTCTCTCCGAGGCCATGAGTTTTTCTACACGTTTCAGTGCAGGGACTGTCCCGGTTCGCAATTAGACTTCCATGGCGCGAGTTTTGCCCACACCCAACAGGCAAGTGTCGGAAGGCTCTCCGCAGGCTCCCACTGCTGCCCAGGCTCCGTCTAGTCCCGTCCTGCAGCTGCGGAAAATGGCAGAGCTGTTGGGGCCCTGCGTGAAGTTCTCCACGGATGCACCGCCGCCGCCCCAACCTGGGACACAGCACTGGCCCAGATTCCTAAACCCTAAACCCTAAACCTTGCTTCTCTAACGCGGGCGGCCCCAAGACGCATAGAGGTCCTCAGCAAAAAGACCGCTCCCTCAGGGCCTTCCGACACCATAAAAAGGTGTTCACATGCACTCCTGCCTTGAAGAGCAACCTTTTCTGCACTGCGTCTGCGTAAGCGGTTGTCCCATTGTAGCAGCTTGTAAAAGCTCGGCAGTTTTTGCCGGTGGAGGAGGGAGTGGCGCGGTGGGTTCTTGAGCGCGGCATCTGTTTACATTCACACCTATGCTTCAGGTGTTCACATGCACTCCTGCCTTGAAGAGCAACCTTTTCTGCACTGCGTCTGCGTAAGCGGTTGTCCCATTGTAGCAGCTTGTAAAAGCTCGGCAGTTTTTGCCTCCACCACTTTTTCCATCCAACCACATGTCACATATGGCGCGCACCACCGGCAAAAAAGAAATACCACTGTCCTGTAGGCGTCGAGGCCGACTGCAGCTGTGCTGACAGAGAAAGCACCGACCTGAAGATTTCCAGCAGCGAAAAGACGAGACGCCGAGCTTCTGGAGCCAGGCGGTGAACGAACTGCAAAGAAGAAATCTCCTGAATGTATATCTCCATAGTCCTGGCATTTAGCCAGCGACCGCGTCTGCGAACCAGCTCGGAATCCTCTGAAGTTTGAAGAAGCCAGGTGGCTCCCCCAGCTCTGAGCGACCCTAAGTCAAGGGCACGAGCGCCCTGGTCAGACCATCTGTGCGTACCCAGCCGAGTCATCAGAGCATCAAACCTTGAACGCAAAGTCGAGGGGGAAGAGGGCCAAAGCTTGCAGTCCGGAGACAAATGACCAAAAGTCATCTGAACGACCTCCAGAAGGTCCGGCTGATCCAGTTTGGCTGACTGGTGGCGGGCAGCTCGAAAACGGGTTTTCGGCTCGCTTATAGAAATAAGCGCGTAGCTGATGGTGTTGGAGACGTCTTGTGGCAGCAGGAGGTCAGACCTCCGAGCTGCTAGAGACTCGCCTATACGCATGACAGCTCCCCATGTGAGAGCGAGCATACCTGCCACCCTCGGCCAGCCCCACATCAAAGCCAAAGTGATAGAAGCTATCAGCACCTGCCAGGGCAAAGCAACGTGGTGTGAGTGCGGCTCTTCCCGGAGCCAAGCGAAAGCCAGGTCCCAGGCTGGTTGCAGACAACGACGTAGCCCCGGTTCAGCGCTCGCGATAGCATTTATAACTTCGGAGTAATGAGAATACGGCCATCCTGCTTCAAATAACTGCCTTCCATAGGAAACCAAGAACCTGTTCAAGAGCTTCGTGCTGGAGGGAGCCAGGTCCAGAAGGCCTGAAAAATCCACGCCTTGCGCCGACAGCCAAACAGTAAAAGCATGTAGAAGCTTATCTCTCCGCCTCGGCGTGATAGGCTCAACCTGGCGCCCATCTGCCAGAACTGCTGTCGATCTAGCCAAAGAGCGCTTTTCATCCGCACCATGACGGGGCTGTAGCACATGGCTCGGCGCAGCAAGGGAGACTACCGAAAACCCCCACACCAAGAAAACCCGAAGAAAGGCCCCTCACCAGGAAACCCCAAAGTAGAGTCAAAGGTGCGAGCGGCTCGGTGGTGAAGGCGCCAGCCAAGGTGAGGCCGAAAGGCAGGAGGCGACTGGACGCAAAGGCAGACCAGACGAGCCCAATTCGAGGCCCACCTGCGAAGCTTAGTACGAAAGACCTTCATAAACCTCGTCAACCGAAAGACGATGCCAAAAGGCGGCTTTGGCAGGCTGAGGCAAAGGAAGGTTTCTGGTGGGACAGTCACCCGGGTTAAGCCTGGTAGGCACGAAGTGGAAGGCAGGGAACACACCGGCGATAAGGCAAAGGGCAGCAATCTTCCTGAGGACAGGCGTGAGACCTCGCGAGGGGCTGCGGCCCTTGGCACAAGAATGCAATGCAACAGCAGAGTCGACAAGGATGACGACACGGCAGGGGCCCGAAGGGGCCAAAGCACGCACCAAACGCAGGATGGAAGCAGCCTCGAGGATATTGATGTGCGCAGCAGACTTCCAACACCAATCGTCACCTGCCCGCCACCTGAGCGACAAGACGATATCATTCAGGACATAACTTTCGAGACCCTCAGGTTGGAGCTTCTGTAGAGACCTTACATGGGACACTCGACGCAGTACAGAATCAAACACAGTGGCAAGAGCCTGGGCCAGAAGGTAAGGGAGAAAAGGCTGCTGATGTGCAAGCGGCTCTAGGCCACTAGTACAACCACAACACGGAGCTGAAAGCGGGGCGGGGTCAAGGCCAAAAGCGAGGAACCTGCAGTCGACGCAGCCTTCGCCCCCAAAGGCACAGAAACAGGAGCTGCCAGTGACAGCACCAAGACGCAGCAAACGAAGCCATTCCGAACCAGTCATAGAGACTGAGGAACCCAGCCGAAGAAGCAGAGCCGGGACACCGCAATTCCAAGCGCACACCATCAAGGCGATACAGCGTGACTCAAGGGCTCCCCGTCTAGTGTTCAAATGCCCCGAATCCTTGGCAAGCACAGAGTCTGAAGTACCAGAATGAGGGGTCAATTGGCCCCCGGTCATTTTGCCAGATCTTGGCCAATCCTGGCAAAATGCAGTATTGCCCTTCAGGCTATGCAGTTTGGCATTTCTAGGAAGTCCAGAGCGGCCCGGTGAAGGAGGAGGCTCAAGTCCAGGAAGGGCACAGAAAAGGCACTTAACTCTGCCATGCTGCAGTAAGTGAACGACCCACTCAAAAGACCTGCCGAGAGTCAAATCGTAGAAGGGGCTGTGCTGCAGACTGAAAACAGCGCCCACGGCACGACCCCTGTCAGCGAGGAGGCTGGAAACCAAGCCACAGGAGCTGACCTCAAGAAAGTCGAAGAAGTACGCAAGGGGCCGCTGAGGTCCTGAGGGAACCGAGGAGCCCTGCATCCGTAGATCAAAAGGCTCCCTGTCGTCAAACCTGGCAAGAACCGCCTCCTCTTTAGAAAGCAAACGGCTATAGCCACCCTTCTTCGAAGCAGTTCGCCACAAGGGCCGGACGATGTCAACACCCGCACGGGCGACGGTGTAACCGCCTTTCAGCTCTGAAGCATCGGTAGCATATATGTCTGGCTTGAGAGGCGCTGCGAGGTCACAAGACGCGAGGGGAGACAGCAGGCTGACAAGAACGAGCTCCTGCGCCGCGGCACGAGAGAGCGAGTAGAGAACCGGGTGGCCTGTCTTCACAGCACTGGCGGGGGCGACCTCGTAGACCGAAGCAAGAACCGACATGAGCGGCCTTCTGAACAAGGCGGCCGACGTCCAGCTCCCCACAACTGACAACCAAAGGGCGTCGGTAACATGCGAAAGTCGGGCCGTCTCAAGCGAGACCATTGCAAGAGCGGCTCGTTTGGCAGCAGGCGCCGCAACGGTGACCAATCCACGGGAGCGGGCAAACAAACTTGAATTGATCTCAGCGCCAGCTATCTTGGCATGCTCCTTCCCTAGGATGTCCTTGTCGTCCGACCCCATGAGTCCCTCACGGAGGTATATGGCCTTGGCGCAGTGCAAGTGGCCAACACAAGCCGGAGGGCTAGGATCTCAAAGATCCTTGACGCTCACAGAGAAAAAGTCGTCGATCACCAAGCCCTGTGCGCCGGTGAGGCCTTTGAAGGGTCGATTCGAGCACAACCTTTCAGAGGGATCCAAGAGTCCACCAGAAATGAGCAAACCCTCGTGGGAGGCCTGCCCCACCTCCACTCCCAAATGGTCGCCCTGGGCGACAGCGCCGAAGCAGACCAGGTAGTGGTCGGAATCAAAAAGCAGAGGCCGACGCTGGGAAGGCGAAGCAGCCTCCTTCGTCACCCCAAAAGCGGTCGTGCCAGAGTCACAAGGCGAAGGCTGGAGGTGCTTAAAGGCGTCGAGGCGGCGCACAGCGGCACGAGGGAGGGCCGGATCCAAGGCATTGGAAGATGCCTTCGAAGCTGAAACTCCAAGCTGATGATAAAAATCTTTTCTATCAGCAGCCGAACAGAAGATGGACTGGCACGCAGGCCGGACCTCCAACATTCCAAGCATGGGCCCCACAGGTATAAAGCGACTGGGCCCCGACAACCTTGATTCGGCCCAGTTTTGGCCCCTTCTGTCAATGATCATCCGGTCCTTGTCGGGGCCTTTGTAACAGTTGAAGGCCCTGGCGAGCAGGTAGCTCTCAGACAAAGCCAGAGTAGCTGGCGCGAGGCGAAGCAGGCCCAAAGTGTCCCACAAGCCAGCCAGGGAGGCAACCTCGCGAGGAGATTCACGGCTCCACACTGGAACAAAAGACTCAGGAGGGGGAAGTCCATGCAGCAGAGAGCGCGGCTCCGAGAAGGCCATGTAGAGCTCCTCCGGAAGATGTGGCGAGGGGTCCCAAGAACCCCGCCCAGAAAGTCGCAGTCTAGAGACATCCAGGGACCGAAAGGGCTCAAGTCCAGGGAAAGCATCGTTGTGCGTCGGGACCACAGTACCTGAACGATCAGCATAAGCGTCCCCCGTGGCAGCCGAGGAGGCTGCAAGAAAGGCCGTGAGCTCATTGAGCCGTGCAACTAATTGGGGATTGCGGCGGCCAGAATCAGCAAGAGCAAACTCACCGACCGAGGCACCGAACGCCTTCAAATGACGACCAACATGCGCAACAAGGCTTCGCTGTGCAGCATTAGGAGGCCGCTGGAGCACGGACAAAGGGATTGACACAAAGTTCGAGTGCAGGTAATTCAAAGCCATGCAAACGATGTGAACAAGACGCCTGTGCATGATGCATCTCCGAAAACGCGATCCGTGTTCCAAAGAGAAGCGGGCAAAACAACCCACAAAAGGCAGAGGCACTGGGAAGATGACCTCTGAAGGCGGAGCAGGCCTGGCAAGCCTGGGCAGATGCAGTGTCGCTAAAAGAAACGCAGAAAAAGGCGTCCTCGTGCGGAGGACGGCTCGAAGAAGGCCGGAGACCCACGAAGAAAAACACACATTGGTGTCAAATCCAAGGGAGGACACCGGACGAAGAAGTCCAGGAGGAGGCCTCGAGCAAGTCACTTGGGAGCGTCCGGTCGGGGCTTCTTCGGGAACCTCGGTGGCCTTTTTGGCTTGTTTTCTTGACCCTCGCTTTCCCCGGCGGGAGACACAGGAGGAGCCCTTGAAGAACCCAGGGATTCCAACCGACGGGTGGTTATCAAGTCCACTTCCTTCAAGTACTGAAGCGCGCAGGTGGTCCATCCCACCGGTGACAAAGGAGAGAACGCTCTTGTCCTGGGATTTGCCACGACTCCCCGGCCATGAAACAGCTGAGCTGGAGGCTCTTCCAGCAATGTCAGTAACCATGCGAAGTCCCACCTCCCGCCGTCGATTGACGACTGATCGATGGCAACGACTGAGCCAGGCACCACATGATGTACCCGGTCTCGCGCTGGCCAGCAAAGCCCCCGAACCTCTCTAGGTACTGGCACATCGACACCGAACCCGAGCAGTCTTCTAAGGAGGTTGGGCACGGGGAAGATGGCCGAAGCCTCCTCGAAGCAGCCTGGAGCACAGCCAGGTAAAAGTCCCCCGACCTCGCAGCCCGTGCGCCCTGAAGCCTTTCCCTGCGAGCCGCCCCTTTCGATCCCACATAGCTCGTAGAGCTTGAGGCAGACAGGTCGCCGAGTCCCCCGTCCTGTTGGCTCACAAGGTGACCCAAAAGAGCCGAAAGAGCCTGGCTCTGTTGAAGCATGGCTTCCTGAAAGGCATCCTGAGGCACCTGTGCAGCAGCACCCGGAGCAGCGGCAGGCGATCTTGTGGGCGCCGAGGCGGCCGGATTGAGAGTGGCATCTTGAGGCTTTGTGCGGGGCGGTGGGCCAACAAGCGAAGCATGTTTCGCAACTGGCAGACCTGGGCCCTGGGCAGGGAGAAAAGGCTGTTGATGCGCAGGCTTGGCCGGGCTCGGAGCAGCAGCAATGGAGCCGGATTGCACTTGTTTTTCGAGGCTCTCTTGCTTCTCCCGGACCGCTGAAAGTTGATCGGCAAGCTGCGGCAGCATCGAAGTCAAAAGTGTCATCTGCTGGGCCAGGTCGGATGTCGTGACCTTCCTCTTCGCAGCTGCCTTCTTTGCTTTGGCCTTTCCCATTGGCCCTGGGTCTTCGGGAGGAGGCTCCTCCTGGGCAGAGTAGAAGGCTGTCCGGTCCACACCGGCCTCGGTCACCCATCTCTTTGCGACTGCAAGCAAGTCGTCGCTCAAAGGGAACGCATCCGGCTGGTGTAAGTCGAACGGGAAGATGCTGTCCCCGGCAAGGTCCTCCCCCAAGTCCCTCAAGAGAGGAACCACCTCGGCACCGAAGTCCACTAGTAGTACGGCCAGCTCCAGGTCTAGGGCTTGCTCGACTCCTTGCTCGTCCACCGAGCCAAAAGCCAGGGTACACTGGTGAGAGGGGCCCATCAAAGCCTGAGCCTCGGCACCTTCGCCTTCGTCCAGCGTCGCAAGAGACAAAAACCCGCACGGAATGCAAAACAGGAGGCCCTCCTGACGCCTCATCACGGGAATGGCAAGGGCCTCGGGGACCGGGGCTGTTCTTCCTTCTTCCGGCCAAGTCAAAGCCATGAACTTCTGGTGGCCCTCCGCGAGGACTTCGATCGAACTTAAGAGTTGCTCATTGCTCCTGTGGCAGGGCAAATCCAGCCGCTTCACAGTAGACGGCAGCCTCCGACAAGGAAGCAAAGGCCTGGCACACTGTGGAGCTGTTTTCAGGAGAGCCGACGGCCTGCTTGAAAAGCTTCCCGGAAGAGAAGAGGGCCGGACAGTCGAGGCCCGCACAGCGCAAGACCACGTAGAACCTGGGCCGCAAGGAAGAGGGGAGGCGAGCGGCGGGCCGTGGTGTTGGAACCCGGTCGTCGAGCACCAAGCGAGCCCAAAGTCCAGAAGTCCAAGCACGGGAGGCCCGGGCCTCTGGAGAGGACCCAGCCCCAACGAGGGAGTTGCAAGCGCGAAGGCAGTGAGCAGGCAGAGGAGCAAAGTTTGCCTCAAGACGGTTGTACAGAGCAGTAAGCTGCCTAGGGCTGAGCAGCGAATGATGCCGAACACCAGGGCCCGGAGCCGCACGGGAACCAGGCTCAACGGGATCAGGTCCTATTAATTCCCAGTCACCACTAGAACCACTAGGGGGGTTATCAGGGCGTAAGGCAAGGGAAAGCTGCTGGAGGGAATCAGCAAGACGGTGAATGGCAGAAGAGAGCTCAGGATCGTGATCACTCATGCAAGTAGGAACGAAGCCTGAGATCCGCAGGCCGCTTGGCCGGTTGTGGCCTCGAAGGAGGCGAGCGAAAGGGGTCCTGGCAGGGAACCTTGAAAAGGGAAGCCCGAAAGAACCACAAGGTCAAGACCACCCAAAGAACAGCCCCAACCCCCACCAGTTGCTGAGCACCCCGGCTTGAATGAGCCTGAGGCCCTGTTCGAGCCACATTTCTTGAGCGCGGCATCTGTTTACATTCACACCTATGCTTCAAGGCACCGATGGACGTATGGACATTCGAAGCCCAGCCCCAAACTTCGCTTCAACATGGAGCCCAGGCAGTTTCGGAGTTTAGGGTTTAGGGTTTAGGGTTTCGGAATGACCAGAATTACCATCGCGAGGACACCCCGATACTGCGAAGCTCATCTTATCCTCCACTGCCAAGACGCTCTGATGGGTCTCCGCCGAGCAGTTCTCGAAGAGCACCGAACTCCCGGCTTCCTGTTGGTAGTTCGAGGCATCGAGGCCACCTCCTGATTCAAAGAGAGAACTGCAAACAAACCCTAAACCCTAGACCCTTATCCCTAAACCGAGGCTCCAATGACTCCAATGTAACGGTCTGGGATGCGAGTGCGCCCCAGCACGGCCACAGCTCCAAAATCCGTACAGACTTCACGTTGAGGAGCCCCTAAAGGCATTGCCATCTTCTACACACTTCATTGCAGGGCCTGTCACTGTCCGACTAAGGCTCGAAATGGCACGAGAACGGCCACGCTCAACAGAGCGGGCGTCGGGCAAGCTGCTGCCCAGGCTCCGTCTTGTCCCGCCATGCAGCTGCGAAAGATGGCAGAGCTATTGGGGCCCTGCGTGAAGGTCTGGTTCAAGTGTGCACCCCCGCCGTCACCTGCGAGACAGCACAGGCTAGCACTCGGAGCAATGAGTTTAGAAGAATCCACTTTAGATAGCACGGCCAGCCCCAAGCCGTAGAGATCTTCAGCCTCTGTCTGCCGCCCCTGCAAGCCCGTCGGAAACCAAGGACCGTGTCGCTCGGAATGAGGCCACACAGGTACTGTGGTGAGGACACCCGAATGCGATGTCTACCGTCAAAAGCACTCATCTACATCCTCGACTGCCAAGGTGCCTTTTGCCGAGCAGTGCTCGAAGAGCACCGAACTCCCGGCTTCCTGCTGGTAGCCACCTTTGGCGTGGAGGCCGCCTCCTTGGTAGACTTGCACGCTGTGAAAATGCCGAACCTGTTCACGTGTCTGTCTGGGATGCGCATGCGATGTGGGGGCCCCAGCCTTGCCACCAACTTTTTCAAGAGCACGGCCACGCCCAACAGGGCGGGTGTCGGGCAAGCTGCTGCCCAGGCTCCGTCGCGTCCTGCCCGGCAGCTGCGGAAGATGGCAGAGGTGTTGGGGCCCTGTGTGAAGTTCTCCACGAGCGCACCACCGCCGTCACCTGCGAGACAGCACAGGCTAAGACTCGGAGCAATGAGTTCAGGCTCCTTCAGCTGCTCAGACGGACCCAAGTCCTGTAAGCCCTTCCCAAGCCCAAGACAAGGCAAACATCATTTCAACTTGTGCACATCCTCAACTGCCAAGGCGCCGGAATTTGCCCAGAAGTTCTAGAAGAGTCAGAACTCACTCTCAAGGCCACATCCCGGCAAAAAGGAATGCGTCAACGTGAAGCCCAGCGATGTCTTTGGGAAACTCAGGCACACAAGTACCGTCGAAAGGATGACAGCGGAGCCAAGGCGCCGTCATCTGCTGAGCAGTGCTCGAAGAGCACCGAACTCCCGGCGTCCTGCTGGTAGCCGCCTTTGGCATAGAGGCCGCCTCCTGGGGAATACTCTGACAGGCCGGTAGGGTTGCCGCAGCCGCGGCTGTTTTGGAAACCCCGAAGTCTGGGAGACTGCAAGCCGGATATGCCCTCTCTCCGAGACCACGAGTTTTTCTACACGTTTCAGTGCAGGGACTGTCCCGGTTCGCAATTAGGCTTCCATGGCGCGAGTTTTGCACACACCCGACAGGGCGAATGTCAGAAGGCTCTCAGCAGGCTACCACCTGGCACCGGGCAGAAGACTGCTGCTGCCCGGGCTCCCAGTCCCGCCCTGCAGCTGCGGAAGATAGCAGAGCTATTGGGGCCCTGTTTGAAGAAGTTCTCCACGCGTGCACCACCGCCCCAACCTGGGACATAGCACAAGCTAAGACTCGGAGCAATGAGTTCAGG